AGCTCCTGACCTGGAGAATCTGAGCAACAGCTGGTAAGTCTTCTAGTGGATTAATATTGACAGTCCCATCCTGGCTAATTCCCATCACTGGACTTATCCCCCAGGAGTATCTCTTTTCTGTTTGGAGCTGGGTTCTAGTCCTGAGTTCCACAACATCCTCTGGCAGTGAGTTTCACAGGTTAACTGCATGCCCACACATTCAAAAGTGCTGGGACAAGGCATGTCACCGCAGGCTGGTACTACTCCTGGCTACCAATGATGACAAAAATTTAAGGTTAGCTTGGCAGAGTGTTGGGAAAGGCTTTATTCCCTGAGGAAAATTCCTTGGTGAGGGGGTTTTATGCACATTTGGATCGTGGTTCTTGAGGACCCAGTCGGCTCCACAAGAACTAGGTTCCAATGATTTGATCTTTGGGAGAAGAGGGAAAATATCTTCATTAACCAGGGCAGAAACTATTGAGAAGGCGAGATTTGTGATCTGTGGTTCTCCTTTTGGCACAGACCTTTGAGACAGAGAAGACCTGGAATTTCTGAGTGTTGTCAGCATACGCAGACTAGATGGACTCCTCTTTGTTTCTGCAGACACAGGCTAACATGGTTACCCCTCTGAGACGTGAGTCAGTGACTGGCTGCCATAGAATGGTCTGTGGGAGACTTCCCAAAGACCCCCCAAAGATGGCAGGAGTTTATGGTCCTTGGAGACCCCCCCCCCCATCTCCTAGCCTTGGAGTGGTTGGGTTGATCACTAATGAATGTTTTCGCAGTCACTATCTCCTGGGTTTTAATTAAGGCCGGCTCTGCTGCCCCCGGGGCCTGCTTTCTGGGATTCATCTTTGTATAAGAGCGGCCGTTCCTCGGCAGATGCCGGGGGAAGGTGGACACCATGTGTCCCTCTCTAAACTGAGGCTGGGTATGAGGGTTTGTGTTGGGGAAATGGCAGGGGAGCGGCTGGGATATCAATGCCAACTGGATGGGAGGAGGGGTGGAGAAACTAGTAGAAAAGGCCTGGGAAAATGGGGGAACAGGATAGTATGGAAAAACCCCTACATCTTCTACAGCCCTCTGGTCCTCAACCTACCAGTGTCTGGCTCTGATGAGAAAGACGTTCCCCACCTCCATTCACATCTGACAGTCCCTGACTCACTCCTGCCCACTCCATCTCCACCCTCATGTGTTGTCCTGTCTAGCCAGGTGCTTTGACGGTGCCAGGGTGCACCTGTGAGTCCCTGCTCAGCATGCGGAACGGAATCTGATGCCTGAAACTTCGTCCACCTCATCACCTTCTCCAAGAGCATCAATGACTGGGAGAGATGACAAGACTGAATCTATGGGATCAAAATGAGAACTCAGAGTGGGGACATGTTTCGCGCCCAACTCACTGAAAAGGTCAGTGAAAAATGAAGCCTTTTCATCAAATGTTTCCCAGGTTCTTCATGGTCAGAAAGGCTGATTTCTCTCACTACCCTCCTGCAACAGTAATTAATGCGCTGAATACTCTGTGGAGCCTCTGCATTCATTGCAAAAGTTCTGCATGATGGTGGCCTCACTGAGGGACCCATCTGGTGGGCAATTTCTGACTTTTCCAGGTGGGGATTTTCCAAAGGAAAGGTTGAGTTTGATAAGGGAAACTCAGAGCCCTTAGCTGGCCATTGGCAATTTCTCATGAGTGATGTAAGATGACAAGGAAATTTGTGTGTGGATGACAAGGACATTTTCTTAAGGGCTAGGCAGGAGGAAACACCCTCCGGCTGTAAGTGAAAGCTGACAATCAGCCTGGGGATAAAGTCCCTGAATGTAATTAACAATGGGCACAATCAACCAATGGGTGTGGTAGATCACACCTGACAATTATTCAGATGACACGGGAGGCACGTCTAAAAGAGCCATGCTAGAAAGGAAAGGAGGGACGAGCTCTAGACTTGGCTCTCAGCCTTTCCAGGTGAGCACCTCTTTCAGGAGGGCCACTTGTCTTGTCTCCCTCTTAAGTGTCACCTCATTTAAATACTACTTGCATATGAAACTAGATGTAAAAAAATACAAACGTGCCACACATGCTGGTACCATTTTTACTAGATAATTATAAAATCAATCAGGTGGAATATAAGCATCGCACTTGCATTTCAGAGCTTTGTGTGTAGAGCAGCATAAACAAGGTGCTGTATGAAATGTTAGTTTGTACTGACTTCTCCAGGGCTTTTCATGGAGCCCGTTGTAAAACCAGGCCGGTATCTAGATGGGTTGATGAACCCCCTGGAAGACCTCTGTGCATTCCCAGAGGGGCACAGCCTCCTGGTTGAAGGGCTAGAGTCTATGAATCTATGAGAGAAGATTTCAAAAGACCAGATGGAAAAATTCACTGGACAAGAACAGACTCACAACCCAGCAGTGTCACAGGACATCTCTACGGGGACATGAAGGCAAATTCTGGTTATGCGAAGCAAAGAAAGTTCCCAGCCTTTTGAAGCTGTGCCCTGCTTATAGATCTGTCCTTGTGGTCTGTAATAAACTTGATAAGTCTGAAGGACAGACGCTGACCAAGGTCCTGGGGTGATCTCTGGGAAGCTTTGTAGCGTGTCTTTTTTGCTTTAAGATACTTTTCCTCAGTTCACCTTACAACTAGAATCACTGAAAGGTAGGGCTGGAAGGGCTCTCGATTGTTAGAGGTCTGGTGGGGGACCAGAAGGAGTAAGAAGAAAGTCATTCAGAATCCATCCCCAACCCAGGACAGTAACACATGCTGGGAAGGCAGGTACAAGAATCTAGCAATGTTCCTTCCTGACATTCAGAGCGAGAGATTTCACACAACCCTGAAGCATGAGGCTTAATATCCCTTCCGTGGTGTTTAATCAATCTGAGCAAGTCTGACCCTGGATCTTCCTTTTACCTATGGAAATGTCCAGTCCCTCTTTGAATCTTACTAGGTTTTAGCCTCAGTGCCATCGTGTGGCAATGAGTTCCACATTCCCTGAGTTCATGAGTCTCTATTTGAATATCCCACTGTTGTTTCATGGGCTTTTTCCCTGTTTCTGTGCCATGCAACAGACAGGACAGAATCCCATTCTTTAATCAACCCTAATCTTTCCTTTCTCTCATCACAGGAGACTTGTCCCAGAGCCTGACGTAGCCCCAAATCCCTGCATTCCTCCTGTGGGGCTGAGGAGGTTTCGCCCAGGGCATCAGAGAGAGTGAGTGTGTTTTCAAAGTGGTACATAGTCCCCTCTTCATTAGCTTGAAGATGAACGAAGCACACTGAGCCCCTCTCAGGGAGGTTTTCCGGATGTGCTGTGTAGCCGCGGCGCCTGCCTGGAGAGACGCAGGGCTTGTCGCACTGTGACTCTCAGGAACTTTTCCCTGTTCTTGCTGTATCTTGGTCCAGCCTCACAATGGAGAATACCTGGCAATTCAACCCAGTGAAACTGCTGTGTCAAAGGCTAATGCTCTGGGCTGTGTTAACAGGAGCGATTGTGAAAGTAGAAAGAATTATATTGTAAGAAAAAGATGAATTATACTGTAATAATAAAATAAGGTCAAGAAATACTGTTTATCTCTTTACAGGAAAGAGAAGATTATGTTAATGTTGTTTGTAGGTATGCAGGATAGATCAGAGTGAAACTAGGTTGTCTGGGACACCAGGAAAAGGAACATTAGGTGTTAGACAGAAATTAATTGAGATAACCAGGGAGATATGGACAGGAGATTGCTGTGCGCTTGATGTGGAAATGAAGATACTTGATTAGTCTCATGCTAATCATGTGAGTTTTGCCTTCTTTTTTGATCATGTTAATTTTGCTTTCTTTTGTCTGTATAAATCAAGGGGTTTGAGCCTTCTATGGTACTCACGTTTTCTGGGTGTATTAGCAGAGTGGCTTTGCTAATAAACAGAGTTGTCTGACAAATTTGTGAGTCCTGTGTCTGACTTTGACACCAACAATGGAGAATACCTGGCAATTCAACCCAGTGAAACTGCTGTGTCAAAGTCTAATGCTCTGGGCTGTTTTAACAGGAGCGCTGTGGGTCAGACTCGGGATGTAGCTTTCCCGCTCCATTTAGCACTAGTGAGGTCTCAGCAGGAGCCCTGAATCCAGTTCTGGGCACTGCACTTCTAGAAAGATGGGGTCAAGCCTGAGGGTATGTCTACACTACCCTCCTAGTTCGAACTAGGAGGGTAATGTAGGCATACCGCACTTGCAAATGAAGCCCGGGATTTGAATTTCCCAGGTTTCATTTTCATAAGCGGGGAGCCGCCATTTTTAAAGCCCCGCTGGTTCTAACCCCGTGCAGCGCGGCTACACGGGGCTCGAACCAGCGGGGTTTTAAAAATGGGCGTCTCCCCGCTTATGCAAATGAAGCCCGGGAAATTCAAATCCCGGGCTTCATTTGCAAGTGCAGTATGCCTACATTACCCTCCTAGTTCGAACTAGGAGGGTAGTGTAGACATACCCTGAGAGAGTCCAGAGGAGAGCAACAGGCATGAGGAAAGAGTTAGAAAACCTGACCCAGGATACATGGTTTAAAACACAGGGCAGGGCTAGTCCTGAGAAAAAAACAATCTGCACATTTGTTATGGGCTGCTATAACAAAGAAGGAGCTCACTTGTTCTCCAGCTCCATCTGCAGCAAGAGATGGTTAGGAGAGGTTAGGAAAAACGTTCTAACTCTGATGCGAGTTGAACTTGAAAGCCAGATTCCAGTGGAGGATGTGGGATGTCTAGTGAGTGGAGGTTTCTAAGGAGAGGCTGGACAAACAGCTGTCTGCTCTGTCAATTGTTTGGGTGAAGGGCTCTGGAGGCAGAAGCTAGACAAACACAGAGGAGACAGAAGGCATATATTCTTACCAGTGAAGGCCAGTAAACAATACCAGAAATCAGTGAGGGTTGGCTGCAGTCTCTAAGGTGGGACAGATTTAAATCAATATCCACAGAATGCTGGCAAAATTGATCAGTATGTTACATCACTGCTGACACATTTCTCCTCCCCACTCAGGTGCTGTAGCCCCTTGCCATGGACGAGGCCAACTGGACGTCCATCTCTGAGTTCGTGTTCTCAGGTGTGTCCGACCGGCAGGTACTGCAGCCTCTGATCTTTGCAGGGTTGTTGGCCACCTATCTGGTGAATGTAATTGGCAACTCCATGCTGCTGGTGCTGATGTGGGTCACCCCTCAGCTCCGCACCCCCATGTATTTCCTCCTCAGCCAGCTGGCCTTTGTGGACATGTGCATGGTCTCTGTCATCCTGCCCCAGGCCCTGGTGCATATTCTGACCCAGCACCGGACCATCTCCTTCACTGGGGGCTGTCTATGGGAAACATGGGGAGCTACCTGCTGGCTGCCATGGCCTACGACCGCTATGTGGCTGTATGCAACCCGCTGCGCTATGCCACTGTGGTGACTTGGTCCCTGTGCCTCAAGATGGTGGCTGGCTCCTGGGTCGTGGTGCTTCTTCATGCTCTGCTGGACACCGTCATGGCTGCCCGGCTGCGCTACTGTGGCAACCGCCTGCAGCATTTCTTCTGTGACCTGCCGCCCCTTCTGGTCCTCTCTTGCACTCGGCCCATCACCATCGAGTTGGTGAACTACACCGAGGGCGTCCTGGTGGTTCTGGCCCCTTTTGCCTTCATCCTGGCCTCCTACATCCACATCGGGGTTGCTGTGGCCCGCCTGCGCTCTGCCCAAGGCCTGCGCAAGGCCCTTGTCACCTGCGGCTCCCACCTGACCGTGGTGATACTTTTCTATGGCACTACGACTTCACCCTACATCTACCCAGACTCCAGTGATACCCAGGAGAAGGACCGGGTGGCGGCCGTCTTCTACACCGCTGTGGCGCCTGCCCTGAATCCCCTCATCTACAGCCTGAGGAACAAGGACGTGGCTGCGGCCCTGAGGAGGGCGAGGAGGAAGGTCCTGGCTTGGGGCCAATGAGACCAGCCTGGGGCTCCATTGCTGCATGGACAGAATTACACAGATTGCTTCTTCGGGCTCTGTCCTTCCACACAAGAGGTGCCTGAGAACCTTCCCATTTAGCTCTACCAGGACACCTGGATCCTTTTCTCCTCAGAGATGAGGCTGGTGAAACTAACAAATATGGGCTACGTCTACACTGGCACCTTTTTCCGGAAATGCTTAAAACGGAATAGTTTTCCGTTATAAGTATTTCCGAAAAAAGAGCGTCTACATTGGCAGGCTGCTTTTCCGGAAAACACTACTGGGCTGTCTACACTGGCCCTTTTCCGGAACAGTTTTTCCGGAAAAAGACTTTTGCCCGAACGGGAGCAGCATAGTTTTTCCGGAAAAACACTGACAACTTTACAGTAGATCATCATTGCTTTTCCGGAAAAGCAAGCGGCCAGTGTAGACAGCTGGCAAGTTATTCTGGAAAAGCGGCTGCTTTTCCAGAATAAGTGGCCCAGTGTAGATACAGCCATGAAGAGCAGCAGGGACACCCACAACTACACATGACTGAGTCTTTTCATATAAAATATGTTTTCAAGGGCCATGCCTGATCAGCCCCAAGGTTTATTGTTATTTACATAGAATCTCTGGGCTGAACGAGTCTAAGGTGTGAGCATAAAAACATAAAAGCAGCCAGATTGGGTGAGATCAATCGTCCACCTAGCCCAGCATCCTGTCTCCCAACAGTAGCCAACACTAAGTACTCCAGAGGGAATGAACAGAACAGGGAATTATCAAGTGATGCATCCCATGCCACCCATTCCCAGCTTTCTGCCCATCCTAGTTAACAGCCACTGAGGGACCTATCGTCCAGGAATGTATCTAGTTCTTGTTTGTTTCCTGTTATAATCTTGGCCTTCACAACATCCTCTGGCAAGGAGTTCCACAAGTTGGCTGTGAGCTGTCTAAAAAAAAATCCTTCATTTTAGACCTACTGCCTGTTAACTTATCATAGAATCATAGAATCATAGAACCATAGAGCTGGAAGAGTCCTCAGAAGGTCATCAAGTCCAGCCCCCTGCTCTAGGCAGGACCAATCCCAACTAAATCAACCTGGCTAGGGCTTTCTCAAGCTGAGACTTAAACACCTCTAGGGATGGAGATTACACTACTGCCCTACTGCCCTAGGTAACCAATTCCAGTGTTTTACCACCCTCCTAGGGAAACAGTTTTTCCTAATATCCAACCTAGACCTCTCCCACCGTAACTTGAGACCATTGCCCCTTGTTCTGCCATCTGTCACTACTGAGAACAGCCTCTCTCCATCCTCTTTGAACCTCCCTTCGGGAAGTTGAAGGCTGCTATCAAATCCCCCCTCAGTCTTCTCTTCTGCAGACTAAACAGACTCAACTCCCTCAGCCTCTCCTCATAGGTCCTATGCTTCAGCCCCTACACTGGTTGCCCTCCACTGGACCCTCTCCAATGTGTCCACATCCTTTTTGTAGTGGGGGGCCCAGAACTGGACACAATACTCCAGATGTGGCCTCACCAGAGCCGAATAAAGGGGAATAATGACATCTCTGGATCTGCTGGCAATGCTCCTCTTAATGCAACCTAATATGCCATTAACCTTCTTGGCTACAAGGGCACACTGCTGAGTCATATCCAGCTTCTTATCCACTGTAACCCCCAGGTCCTTTTCTGCAGAACTACTAATCAAGTGGTTGGTCCCCAGCCTGTAACAATGCTTGGTTTTCTTCCATCCCAAGTGCAGGACTCTGCACTTGTCCTTGTTGAACCTCATCAGATTTCTTGTGGCCCAATTCTCCAATTTGTCTAAGTCACTCTGGACCCTATCTCTGTCCTCAAGCATATCTACCTCTCCCCCTAGCTTAGTGTCATCTGCAAACTTGCTGAGGGTGCAATCCATCCCCTCATCCAGGTCATTAATAAAGATATTGAACAAAACCGGTCCTAGAACCGAACCTTGGGGCACTACGCTAGAAACCGACCGCCATCCTGATACCGAGCCGTTGATCCCTACCTGCTAGGCCCGGGCTTCTAGCCAGCTTTCTATCCATCTTACCGTCCCTTTATCCAATCCACATTCCCTTAACTTGCTGGCAAGAATATTGTGGGAGACCATATCAAAAGCCTTGCTAAAGTCAAGGTATATCACATCCACGGACTGTCTCATGTCCACAGAGCCAGTTACCTTGTCATAGAAGCTAATCAGATCAGGCCCTTTGTGAATCCATGCTGACTATTCCTGATCATTTTCCTCTCTTCCAAGTATCTCAAAATGGATTCCTTAAGGATCCCTTCCATGATTTTTCCAGGAACCGAAGTAAGACTGACCGGCCTATAGTTCCCTGGATCGTCCTTCTTCCCTTTTTTGAAGATGGGCTCTACATTTGCCTTTTTCCAATCATGCAGGATTTCTCCTGAGTTCCACGACTTTTCAAAGATAATGGTCAAAGGCTCCTCAATGACATTTGCCAACTTCTTCAGTACCCTCAGATGCATTAAGTCTGGACCCATGGATTTGTGTACGTTTAGCTTTTCTAAATAGTTCCTAACCTGTTCTTTACCCACCGAGGGCTGTCCATCTTCATCCCATTTTGCATCAGTTAGTGCATTAGTCCTGGAGCCAACCTTGTCTGAGAATACAGAGGTAAAAAAAGCATTGAGTACGTCAGCTTTCCCCAAAACTTCATTTTGTGACCCCTAGTTCATGTTGTGAGAAGTAAAGAAACCTTCCTTATTGACTTCCTCCACACTAGTCATGTGTTGATAAACATCTCTCTTCTCCCCTTAATTGTCTCTTTTCCAAGCAGAATGGTTTTAGTCTTCACTTCATGAGGAATCTGTTCCATACCTCTAGACATCTTGTTGCCCTTTTCTTTATCTTTAACAATTTCAATGTATCATCTTTGGGATGGGGCGACCACCCCTAACTGCCTTATCCAAGAGGTGGCATATCATTGATTTAAAAAGAGGCAACATGATATTGTCTCTCATATTGCTCTATTGACAAAGGGATTTGGGGTCTTGGGATGCTTTTGATGGACTCCCCAATGGGAGCAGAGTGCAATTTGCATAGCTTTTTCAGACAGAAAGGGGCGCTGTAGACCTAGCCTGATTGTGTCTTTGGTCCATCTTTGAATATAATCTCATGGGCTCTCCCCTTGTTGCTGTACCAGGCAACAGGGAGGACAAAATCCCCCAAGTTCTTTTCTCTGTCCCATTTCCATTGCATCACGGTCCCTCTTATGCTTTATATACCACTCAGCTCTCTATCCTCTCTGTACAGGAGACTTTTCTGGAGTCCGTTCAAGTGGGAGGGAGTTGTCCCCTTCTGCCTGATTGACCAGAGAGAGAACACAGTTCTCAGCCCTGCCACATCCCTAAGGGTATGTCTACACTACCCCGCTAGTTCGAACTAGGAGGGTAATGTAGGCATACCGCACTTGCAAATGAAGCCCGGGATTTGAATTTCCCGGGCTTCATTTGCATAAGCCGGCCGGCGCCATTTTTAAATGCCGGCTTGTTCGAACCCCGTGCCGCGCGGCTACACGCGGCACGGGCT